AATCATATTATTTGTGTCGCTGAAGGCAACGAAAACAATTTCTTAATGAAAAATCGCTGAAACATTTCCAGTATATCATATTCTTAGCATACGATGGAGCGCAATATTGCATCAAATATTTGTTTTTTGGAGAATAGTGGGATCAGATCTTGAGCAATGAAACTTGACCAATTCATATTAAGTCCCATTTTAGAAGCCAATATATGATCTCTCATGGAGACCGAAGAGAAATATTTATACGAGTAAGTCAGTGCTGTTAGTTCGTTCCCATTTCGGCGAATATGTCCAAGAAGATTAACAATTTTGAGCAGAAACTCAAAATTCCCGACATGGAGACCAAAGGAAAATATTTACTCGGGAAGAGACAATGGTTTCACTCAGTTTCTTCAAAATGTATCAATATTTCTTCTGACAGCAGCGGTTTAGAATCTGACTAGACTGATGTTTCCGACACCGGATCTAATTCTTCTCTGAAGGTAATTACATGCGATATGCGAGTAGATACTTTGTCTGAAGAGATAAGCGACAGCGAAGATTCTGCTACCGATGATGAAGAGAGCGCATCCCGAGGAAGAAAAAAATCTTCAAAAGGCCTTTAATGTGGACGAAGATATTCCTGATACCTCGCAGTCGTTCGTTTGTTTACTTTTTGAATAAATCGATATTTTGTTTAGTATACTTCCGTGTTTGAGACAATCTTCTTATTTTATTGGTTAAGGTTTCAATGACCTCTTAATATCAGAATAGTCGAACTTATTTGTATAACAAAAAAAGGTGTTATGAAAATCAATTTTTTCTATTCTCAAGAACTGAAATTGGTGAATTTTTATTTGATTTTAACTTGTGAAATATGTGTTAGACGTTTCACAAACTATGGGAAACACAACAATCTAATTTTAACGAACACCGATATATTGCTAAGCCAAATTTTTATTTTATTTCTCTTAATACTGACAGCAGATATAAAATAGTAGCATAGTGAAATAACCATTTATATATTTTCTTTGTATTAAAGTTTGTGAAATGTCTTAAAGCACCTTCAATATTTATTTTCCAATTTTACTTTTATATTGCTGAAATGAACCTCAATTTAACAATTTTAGTCTATTATTATAATAATATTTAATTTTTGATTTGAATTATTTAACATTTTTTAAAAATGATTATATGCTGTATTAAAAACAAACAATGTTTTTTTTTAACTCACAGCCCGGATCCAAAAATGAGGATGGAAACAGTTACTTTAAAAAATTCATTAAATTTGAATTGTAGGGTATATTTTTAAATTGTAATGTAAACCCGTTATTTTGAGTTGTATACTTTTGTGCTTTTATATATAAATACACTTTCTATATTGGCCTACCTATTAGTAAGATAGAAATTTAATTATTATAGTTTATTTTAAAATATCTTATTTAAATTTAAAATATCAATAATAATTTCTTTGGAAAGAAGTTATAATAGCATGTTGAAATCATTGTTTTCTTATTTAGTAAAGTTATTATAAACCATTGGATTGCATTACGAATTTTATTTTTGTAACATTAATTTTAGAAAGATCTCCTTGTTTGTTTACTTAATAGCCACAAATAAATACTTAATATTTAAAATACTGAGGAGGTTATAATAAAAGTGATGCAAGAGTACTTGTTATATTTTTAAAAAGTGATTGTTTTAGTAATGCAATCAAATAATATATTGTTAATTTTGAAGAAGAGTGCCACTGTAAAAAAGTTTTTAGTTTTAATATTCACTGCAATACAAATTTATTATTAACAATTTATTTTTTTTAATGAAAATCGGCACCAATTTTATTCACTATCCATATTTATATGATTAAAAAATTAACATTAGCTTTTATTTTTAAACAAAGAAAGGTGAGCATTATTAACTAAGAAAATGTCCAATTTGATGTTCTACAGTGAGTTTGGGACAGAGATGAACCTAAATATGAAAAATTAAACTAGTTTCTTCTGTAAATTTTTAAATTATGACACTATGTATAAACAAGATGTATAATTTACATTAAAATACATAATATTTACTTAAATTGTATATGTATAGAATCATTTAAGAATATTTACTTTCTGAAAATGTTTTTCTTAGGTAGAGAATATAATTTATTGATTTTGAATTAATTTATTTGAAATGTTGGTTACACATTTTTACTTATTGCAATAAAGTTTTATCTAAGTTATGTTATTTTTTATATCATTACCTATTTCAGTGTTTCTCAATATTTTTTGTGCTGTGGGACTCTAGTTGAGTCAAAATATGTTTGTGGAGAACTAAAAAAATATGATAGCACACTTATTCTTTAGACACTATTATAATAGAATCTATACCCATTTTGTTTTTTGTTTAATATATATAAACCAAATAAAATTTTATCCTTACATTATCTTAAATTTGAATAATTAATAATACATTTTAATACTATTACCAATAAATATAAAATTATGAATTTTTAGAATGTCTATTCACTTAATTGACAACTTTTATCTTAAATATTGAAATAAAATATCATCATGATAGGTGTGTCACCCAGTGATATTATAAAAATTGCAAATAATTCGTGATTTTTTTTAAATCAGCACTTAGCTTAGTTTATCTGTTCAAAAGTTCTATTTAAATGTTTTTAACAATAACCAAGCAATTGTTAATTATTTAAATTTAATATTTCTGCAGTTATCGCTTCCTTTACAACAAAAAATTAATTTAAAAAGCATAAAACTTAGATTTCATACTTGGCTGCTGAAAATTGGTCCATTGTTGATATGAACTTTTTTGTAGCTCTTGAGATCTGCTATCACTCTCATAAAAAATTCCCTAAATTTAGAAACTTATGAAATAATAGAACAAACTTAAAAAGTTTTAAAATAAAGTCATGAAGTTAAGGATAATAAAATAAATGTAAAAACACAATTAAATTAACAAATCAATGAAATCTAAAATATTGGTTTAATGTATAAAATCAAATTTGATTAGCGGTTAATATTCACTTACTGTTGAACCCTCGGTGGATTTTAATTTTTTTTTTCAAACTTAAAAAAAATTTAAATGTTTACATTTAATAAGAAAATGACATTTAATTCCAATGGAAACATGTGATTTTCGTTCAATAGTGTTAGTTTTCTAAAATTATTATTTACTAGCTGATGTACCCATCGTTGAAGGGTGTATAGTTAAAATTTGAGAACCTTTTTTTGAGATGGATATTGTATTATGGGGGGAGAAGGAGGTTAATTTCATAACATTGGGTGAGGGGGAAAAGATAATTTTAATTTTTAGAAGTTTTTCTTCCGATTTCCGGCTAATCCATTTGGTTAATCCTAAAAATGTATACGACAACGTTTGTTAGGCTCGAGAAGTTGAATCGAATGACACCTTGAACAGGAAGATCGAACAAAGTTGAAAAATGAGTGTGTTTTAAGCGACAACGCGTTACAGATTTTTCATTGGCATTTCGGATTTTTCCCGTTGAGTTGTGATATTTTTTTCTATCAGTTGAATAGTACAACTGTTAAATATGGCTCGCGGTAGAGTAGGTTGGGATGAGAATCGAAGTAACTGCCTAATCGGGATCTCTAAACAAATTACCCAAGAATTCAAAACTCTGGTTCTATTCAATATTTTGTTTTCATTTAAAGCCTATGTTTGAAGTCAAGTAAACCTTAATATAATGTCAAGATTTCAAAATTCTACAATAAGCCATTGCTCAGCTTACCTCTGACAAAATTTCGTTGCAATGCGCACATACAGACAGACAAAAAAATGTTTTAAAAGTGGATTTGGTGTCTGTAATGTATGAAACGGAAAGATATCATGAAACGGGTTGATTCAATTCAAAGTACAGACGAAACCTTTATTTTATTTATATAGATGTTCTGTAACCTATATACAAATGTTTTTTATTACCATTTATTATCAGCATTAACCGAGATCTCTAGACAAATTACTCAAGAATTCATAACTTTGGTTATACTGAATATTTTGTTTTCATTTAAAGCCTATGTTTTAAGTCAAGTAAACCTTAATATAATGTCAACAATTCAAAAGTCTACAATAAGCCAATGCTGAGCTTACCTCTGACAAAATTTCGTTGCAATGCGGACATACAGACAGACAAAAATTTTTTAAAAGTGGATTTGGTGTCTGCAATGTATGAAACGGAAAGATATCATAGAACGGTTGATTCTATTCAATGTACAGACAAAATCTTTATTTCATTTACATAGATATATTTTTCGTCACTCTCCGTTACCTTCGAAAACTTTATTTATTTGATATTATTTTTTCTAAAATTCTCCGCTTTGTATTTTACGTATACATTCTGACTGTCATTTCCGGAGATTCATTTTCAACTTGTTTTCAATTATCACATTCTTTCAAACTTCATATTTAGTCATTTTTAATAGTTACTGTTAATAAAAGAGAGTTAATGTTTTTAAAAATAAACCATATTAAAAATACTTTAGAGGATTACGTTTATGAACATTGGGCATTTAAGCCTTGTAAAGTGATATCAATGGGGATAAGACCTAAATGGTATTAAATATCACTTAATTGTACAATGATACACCGAGTTTAATCAAAATTGTAAAAACGTGTTTCCAGTGGGCTGGATCTAATCCCCAAGCACCTCCGATCCTGCCCGCGAAATTTCTTTGATTACATTGTAAAAATTTAAAAAACATAAATCAAGCACAAGTTAACTAAATCTTATATTGCATGAGTTATTTCTCTTAAAGAGCTCATTTCTTAATTAGAGTATCATTTTTTTAGATTTTTTTGTCACAATCTGTGGCCCACGTAACTTTTGCTCTTTGTGGACGACAGATGGCAGTGAGTTCTCTGCCAAATGTGGTTCATTATCTCTTCATACCTGCTTCCTACCCTTGTTTGCCTGCTTCTGCTCCTAGGGCTTTTATTCCCCTTTTCAGTCAGTTTGTACTTCTCGTTTAGATCAGTGCTGTTACTTCGTTCCCATCTCGGCGAATATGTCCAAGAAGTTCAATAACTTTGAGCAGATACTCGAGACTCCCGACATGGAGACCAAAGAAAAGTATTTAATCGAGAAGAGACAATGGTTTCGCTCAGGTTCTTCGAAATGTATCGATATTCCCTCTGACAGCAGCGGTTCAGAATCCGACTCGACTGATGTTTCCGACGCCGGATCTGGTTCTTCTCTGAAGGTAATTACATGCGATATCATTGATTCTTTGTCTGACTCCGACGACGGATTCGAAGAGATCAGCGAAGATTCTACTACCGACGATGAAGAGCCCATCCCGAGGAAGAAAAAATTCTTTAAAAGGATTCTAATGTGGGCTAAGAGAGTTTTGAGACCTCGCAGTCGTCCATTTTAACAATTTTTTTACTTTTAAAATAAATAGTTATTTTATTTACGTATACTTCAGTTTTTAAGCCAATCGTCTTATTTTTTGAATTGGCCAAGATTTCGACGCCATGACTAATAAAAATTTCTAGCTCAGTTCAATATTTAATTGCTTAGGGTTTCAATACCATCTTAATATCAGAATAGTGAAACTTATTTGTATGGCAAAAGGTGTTATGAAACTAAATTTTTTCTATTCTTAAGAACTGAAATACGTGATTATTTATTTTTAAGTTGTGAAATATTTGTTAAGGTACATTTAGACGTTTCACAAACTATGGGAAATACAAAAATCCAACTTCAATTAACAGAGGCATTATTGCTAAACCAAATTGTTTATTTTATTTCTCTTAATACTAACAGCAGATATAAAATACTAGCATAGTGAAATAACCATTTATATATTTCTTTGTATTATAGTTTGTGAAATGTCTAAATGTCCTTATTTATCCTTATTTATTTTCTAAGTTGGTATATTTTTATTTTTTTATATGAATTATTAAACATTTATTTTTTAAATGATTGTATGTTGTTTTAAAAACAAACACTGTTTTTAACTCTGCCAGTGCCGGTCCACAGCCCGGATCCAAAAATGAGGATGGAAACAGTTACATTTAAAAATTAATTAATTTTAAACCGCATAATATATTTTTAAATTCTTATTTTGGGTTGCATACTTTTGTGCTTTTAAATGTAAGTACATTTTCTATACTGGCCTACCTATTTTGTAAGATAGAAATTTAATTTTAAAATGTAATATTATTTTTTTTTGTATTAATAATAATTTCTTTGGAAACTATGTATAATTATGGCACTATATATAATTTACATTAAAATACTTAATATTTACTTAAATTGTATATGTATAGTATCATTTAAGAATGTTTACTTTCTTGAAATGTCTTTTTCAGGTAGAAAATATAATTTATCATTTTGAATTAATTTATTTGAAATTTATATTAATATAAAAAATTATTGTAGTATTTATGCGTTTGGGACTTTGAAATGTTGCTTATATATTTTTACTTATTGCAATAAAGTTTTATCTAAGTTATGTTATTTTTATATCATTACCTATTTTAGTGGTTATCAATCTTTTTTGTGCTGCAGGACTCTTATTGAATTAAAAAAAGTTTGTGGATCTTTGGAGAACTAAAAAAATATGATAGCACACTTATTGTTTAGACACTATTATAATAGAATCTTTATCCTTTTTTTTGTTTTTTAATATGTATAAACCAAATAAAATTTTATCCAGATATTTTAAATTTGAATAATTAATAGTACATTTTAATACTATTACCAATAAATATAAAATTATGAATTTTTAGAATGTCTATTCACTTAATTGACAACTTTCACCTTAAATTAAATATTGAAATGAAATGTCATGAGTGGTGTGTCACTCAGTAATATAAAAATTGCAAATAATTCATGAATTGTTTTAAATCAGCACTTAGCTTAGTTTATTTGTTCAAAAGTCCTATTTAAATGGTTTAACAATAATAAACTCGATTATATCTGTTTACAAGTAAATTTTGTATATTTTACAGTGAAGCAATTGTTAATTATTTAAATTTAATATTTCTGCAGTTATTGCTTCCTTAACAACAAAAAATGACTTTAAATAGCATAAAACTTGGATTTCATACTTGGCTGCTGAAAAGTGGCCCATTGTTTAAAATTCCCTTAAAATTAAAGTTCGGAACTTATGAAATAACAGAAAAAATTTAAATTGTGGTAAAATAAGGTGATGAAGTAAACAATAATAAAATGCTGGTGAAAACATAATTAAATTAACAAATCAACGAAATCTAATATATTGGTTTAATGTATAAATTTAAATTTGATTGGCAGTTAATATTTACTTACTGTTAGACACTAGCCTGTTGGTAAACTCTATTAAAGCAATCAATTAACAATTATTACAACAGAATTTTTGTAGGACAAGATACAAAAAGATATAGAGAATTGTGGAAGTTACATAATATTTAGACAAAAAAATTATAAACAATGTGAATAAGCTTATTAAAATTGTAAACAGTAAGTACATTAAAATATAAACAGAGTAAGCTAAGTAACAAGATCCTAAACTGAAGTAAATAGATGGTAACAATTGTTGTAGTATAATATATAATATATGCAAATGTGAATATACTTCTACAGATCTACATGAGAGATTGAAAGAAAAGGAAAAAGGATATAATATGAAATAATAGACATAAAGGAATATGAAGAAAGAAAAGAAAAAAGAAAACCAAAAAATAAGTAAATAAAATTAGAAAAATATCCTTATTTATTAATCAATAAAAATTGAAAGTAGATAAAAATAATAAGATGTAATATATAAGTTATTTTTCACTTATAAGATTTAAAATGTGTCTACCTGTTAAAGAAATGCAGTTTTTATCTACTTTATGATTAACATGATTCTGTTCAATGTGAATTTTATATTTACATTTTACATCAATGTATGATCATCCATTTTCACTTTTTAACCATGTCTCAATATTATCTAATGTTTAAATGTAATTTTCTTAGATATGTACAACCAAATATAATTATGATTAATCATATCTTTTTTTCCTCTCTAAACTTCTAAATTAGTTCTGCAATGTATGATCTCTTATTTCTATATTTATATTTTACTTCTATGTACGTTTTACTTCTTCCATTTTTGTTTTTATTCACATTGTACTCTTATCTATAATCTCTTAATTCTATTTTATATATACGTATATATTTATAATTTATTATTTCATAGATATAGTATTTTTCCCTAGTATCCATCCATATCTTCAAATTTTAGATACTGTAATTTTCTAGGTTTTTTCCTATTACCCAAACAGGTCAGCAAATTCCCTAATACCTACCCTTACCCTGATTTTCCAGCTCTAAGCAAAACACCTAGCTTAACACACCTAAGTAGGTAAGTCTCTATTTTTATTCATTTATTTTTTGGTCTTCTTTTTTCTTTTCTTTCTCCACATTGTTTATAAATCATCCACTATAAATTGTTTATACTTTTTTGTCTAAATATTATGTAACTTTCACAATTCTCTATATCTTTTTGTATCTTCTCTGTTCTAGCGCTGAAGAAGACATGCTAAGTCTGATTGAAACGTTGGCTTTTAATAAAATAGTTTTAGCCTATTTATGACCGCCATCCCAGACCATCTTCCTTTATAATGCAACGATCAACTATTAAATATTCAATAAAACAATGTTTAATTGAAGAAATTAATAATTTCTTCAAACACTAGTGGATTTGGGATTTCATTTTGTGGGGGGCTTCAGCACAAAAGCTTTATATATATATATATATATATATATATATATATATATATATATATATATATATATATATATAATGATAACTACTTGGGAAGAAAAAGAAAGAAACTGAATACCTATATGAAATGATGATTAAGTGATTCTTGAAGTTCTTTTAAAAATGTAATCACACAAACAATAATATTTTTAGAAATATTTTTTTCATAAGACATGGTTATATAATATTTAGAAAATATAGAATAATAAAGTATAAAATATGACAAAAACAACTTTCAAAGGTGTAAAAGTTTACGCGAAAATACCAGATGTATATTGTGAACTAGTAATTAGTCTTCGAAATGGAGGTGCTGAATTCCATACTTACCAGTTATCTGAGGAGAAAAATAGTTGAATTTGATAAAAAATTTGCAATGCACCATCCAAATTTCCAAAATCAAAAATAATTAAGAAAAATATGGATATATCACAAATGTCTTTTCTTAATTTAAAAAACTTTTGCCCATGTTTTTCATAGACATAACATAAGCTACCTATAAAGAAAAATTTACGACATTGAAACAATGTCATTATTATATAAAAATAGTATCTTTGAAAAAAAAGAATAATACCACCGTGAATAAGATACCAACAATATGGTCATACAAAATCATATTGTAACCATTCTCCACGATGTGTAAAATGTGGCCAAGCCCACAAAAGGGTATCCAACTTAAAGACCAATGAGACAAATGCAAATTGTGTTGGAGGCCACCGGGCCAACTATCAAGGATACCAGGTTCTGAGGGCATATAGAATCGCAAGAACCAACCATCCTCCTCAATCTCCACCTCCAAGTTTCGAAGAATTTCCCATTCTTCAGCAGTCCTTGTGAACAGAGCTGCCAATACAAAATAATTCTTAGAACGCATTTGCTCACAACAAACCATCATATTCAGGCATGAGACGGAAACTACCCAGCAGTCACCTTCAGCTGAAAATAATGCGCTACTCCAATTGCTTCAATTACTCAATGGTTTAAACTCCCTCATACAGCCCCTTTTTAGCATCCTTCAACAGCTTACGCCGGCGGCTCAAGCTATGTATCCACAAAATGGCCACAAATCAGCTGACTGCGGGTTTTTTGTTCATCCTTCTGTTTAATGCAATAGACTGACACAACACAAAACTGAACTGGACTTATATCTTTATGAAAAACTTATTGATGTAGCCCTGATAACGGAAATTCACCTTACATCAAAATGCACACCAGGAGTGCACCATGTTTGTTTATGGACACTAGCGGATCCAGGATTTAATTTTTTGGGGGAGGGCTTCAGCCCGAAAGATTTTTTTATATAAATATAAACGATAATTAATTTGAAAAACAAAGAAGAAATAAATGAACTACCTATATGAAATGGTGTTTAAGTGATTCTTGAAGTCCTATTAAATGTAATTACACGAACAATAATACTTTGAGAGATAGTTTTTAATATTTTTTTCTGTAAAACATGGTTATATTTTACCGTTTTTTTTGGGGGGGAGACTTCAGCCCGAAAGCTCTCCCCCCGTAAATCCGCCTGTGTTTATGGATATTCTTGTGAGATAATACGGTAATTATTACAACAGACATTTTGAAGGCTATAAAATATTCTTTTTCCACTTTCATTCGTTAAGCTATGCATGATATAATTTCCTATTGTGGGCTTACAAACCCAATCTTGGCACTAAATCGTCTGCTTCCGCTGTAGCACAATGTATTGCCTTGCTTTTAAAGAATACCAAATCCAAATCATCATACTTCCTGAATTATAACATAAGGTGTATTATAATTAAAAACCACTAAAATTATATTTAGTACACTCTAGTTGAAGTTAATCAAAGGGTCGGTTCTAAATAGTGTGAAAATTCATATTTGAGCGATTTTTGGAGGTGAGAAATACAAATCTCAACTCTGCTTCTCTTAAAACGATTATTTGAATCCACTTTGCTCAATCGGTCGATAGAAATTGTTTCAAATTTACAAATTTCTAATCAATTTCGATGATTTTTGTTTTTGCTTTGTAGGGAATTTAGTAATTTTTCAAATAATCATGGGTGCAATTAACAAAGATATGTATGATTTTTGAGTTATTCTCAAATAAAGTTTATTTTCCATAAAATCATTTTGTCCTGAAATTTCGGGAAGATGAGATAATTCGTCATTTTCCTATGAAATCCCTTATCAGTTGATACCTCACTCATCAAAATCCATTTCTCCTGGCAGCCGGAATAGGGATTTAAACGGCGAAAACCTACCATATTATATATAAAAATACGTGTTTTCACCTTCTACGTCTGTGAGGTTTTGACTTTCAATTAAATTTTCAAATAAAATAAGATAGAATAAGAACATATACTACTACAATCCGTGAAGGGTCTTTTTACTGGAAAAGACTGTTACTAGGAGTCAGGAATTACTGTTACCAGGCCAACGGTTGTGCAGGGAGCCAGAATGGTCTCTCGATCTGACGGTCGATCAACGGCTAATGAAAAAATATTAGTCATCAGCCGGATTCGAACCTTGGACCTTGAACACTGGAAGTCAGTGCTCATCTACTGAGCTAACCCGCTTCCTCAAATAAAATAAACAATTTTTATATTTATATACCTTTTTTACTGTGACTGCAATCCCAAACTAACTGTAATAATTTTATTTTTAGAAGAAGATATCTTCGTCAATATATATAATTTATTATTTTATATATTTACTTATTGGCAAAGAGGGAATATGGAAAGTCAAACAGTACGTCTAATTCAAGCAGCTGTTTGGGAGGAAACAAGACTGTCAATTTGTGGTCTTCTTCAGGAATCTGAGAGAAGCGTGTTTTGAGTGATGTTGAAACCGGCCGCCATCTTTGAGTAGCAGCAGAATAGTGAAAGTAGTAGAAACTGCTACTCATAATTTAAAACCTCGAATTAAAAACTTCATAGGTGGCTCAATAGCAGCGACTTCTTTTTGTAGATGATGGTTCCTTTCAGATGACATTACAAGTTGAATTATATTTTCATATTTTTTTTTAAATTGAAAAAGCTAATGTCTTTTTTTAATTTCGTTACCAAATTAAGGCACAAATATACTACAATTCAATTGACCTATGACGTCGTGATCGACCCGTCATCCACTAAAGTCCTAAATTTGCTTTCCGTTAACGTTATTAGCTCTTTGCTTGGAAGGTTTTACATCTTTGGTGGGTGGAGTGCTGAGTGAAAGGTCCTCCAAAGGACATTATATTTATTTACTTTAGCTCCAAGTTCAATCCTTTGCCATTGCCGATGCAGGTGGATAATTGTTTACGTTTTCAAAATATCTCTTCATTTTTCCTTTTTCTGCTGTATTGATTTGTATGAATATAATATTAAATGTTTGTTCAATTCAATTTTTATACCTACAAAGTATAAAAAAAATCATTGATTAACGCCAAAAGGTGTTGATGTATATAATATTTAAATACATTTTGACATTCTTAATAGGTTTTGGAACAATAGATTGTCAATCATTAACAGTGTCAATGAATTATAATAAATATATGGCAAATAATTGAATTTGAACTTTGTTTTAGTTGTAATCTTTTAAGTATTTGCTTGATTTGCAGATTCATCTAGGACTAAACATTTACAACTAATAATGGATGATAAAACTATTATAAACAAAGGTAATTTTCGCTTAAGAATCAATTTTAATGATAAACTGAAATGCTTGTAATCAAGATGTTAGTCTGAATATTTGTTGCTTTTTAAAAGTTTCATAACATATCTAGTTTGGAATAACTTAAATTTGAATGAATAATTCATTATGACTTCATCAAATATGTTTATTTTTACTGTAAAACTTTCTCTTGTGAATTTATCGCTTTCTTAATAAAATCCATTCAAATATACAAATTATAGGAATATAATCGGAAAATTCCAAAAATATACATTTTGTAAAATCTAGGTAAATAATTACTCCATCAGCATACAATCAAGATCAGATGTTTGCAGACTATACACAATATACTTCCTATCAAAACTCCGACAACTATAGACAATAGATCACTCCAAGACATACAGTCTTAACCAAGAATATTAACCATCCACATATTTTATTAAAACAAAGTAAAGGGGGATTAAAATAACATTAATTTTATTATGTATGTTTATTTAATCATAAAAAAAGTCAAATAAATATTTATCAAGCCTTTGCCTTTTATGACCTCACTTATCCATTTTAGTATAATTTAATAAGTCTTGAACAATTTTTCCCCACTTTTCTTTTAAAAACGAAATCAAGTTGGTTTTTCTTCCTAGAGTTACATTTACCAACAGTAATTTTTAATTTAGCCCATAAATGCTCTATTAGACGGAGAAATCTACTAATGTATGGGAACTGAGGAGGTCGGTCAAGATCTTAATATTGTTTTTTCAAACCTTTTTTTACTTATGTGTGAAATGAGGCATGAGTATTATCCTATTAAAAAGTAATGGTTTCTCTGTTATCAGGTACAAATATTTTAACAAATGAAGGCTCCAGAGTTTAGTATTTTGATAGATTGATAGATTTAGTATTGATGTCTCAGATAAGGAAAGCCCTTACGATGACATAAAAACTGTCCTTGCCCGTTCAGTCTCATCCAGTTCTTTTACATTTACCATTTGTAATTTTAAAAGTTTGATGTGTAAATTTTAAAAACTATTAAAATAAAACCAAAACTTTCACTATTATAAAGATAACTGTACTGAGAACTTTTGTTTACATTCTAATATCTTTTTGTAGAGTATTAACTAGGAGCAGGGGTAAAAATAATCCATATAAAGTATCCATTATTGTCAACACAAGTTTTGGAAGCAGCATTGAATATAGAACTATTTATTAAAATGAAATAGACAATCAGAGACCTAATATTTTTGGCCAAGGTTTTTCACAATTATTTTTGTCAAAAGTTTTGGATTAATGAAATAATATTTTATTATAGGCTGTTTCTTTTCATTAATTATTATTCTTTATATTTATTAATCCTTTTACCCATAGTTATTTGCAAACAACATGTTAATTTTTATGGAATTTTGATTCATCATTGAATAAATAAGTTTAATTCAAACATAAAATTTCAACAATTTTTTTCATCTCTTATATAAAAAAATATTCTCAATATTTAGTTGGAAAATTCTGGTAGAAAATAAATGGCATCATTTGAATCACTTTATATGTAATGAATTACAATTTATGTCTAAATTTACCATCAGATAGAAGATACTATCTCTATTGTTTTTGAAAGAAAGGAATACTGCTCTGCGGTCTTCCTGCGGACTGCGGTCTTCCTTGACATAGAGAAAGCATTTAATAGTGTCTGGAACAATGGTCTATTATCGAAATTAAAACCGCACTTACCTTCTACTTATTTTCTAATCCTTCAATCCTTCTTTCTTAACAGGTTTTTCTGTGTTCCCGTACATCCTTCTGACTCCTCTTTCTTCCCTCAACACATAGACGTACCACAAGGTAGCGTCTTAAGTCCAATTCTCTGTTCGCTATACACCTCTGATATCCCTGAGCACCACCATCTATTGCTTTGCTGACGACACTGCAATTCTATCATCCCCACTGAAAATCCTACTATTGCATCAATTTCCCTTCCAAATCACCTCTATAATCTTCAAAATTGGTTTGCAAAATGGAACATTAAAATCGATAGTAACAAATCTACCCATGTAACTTATTTTCTTAGGAAAACGTTATGTCCACCCATAACGATTGACAATACCCCAGTGTCAATACCCTTCAAAAACTAAAGGACCCTACTTAGACAAAAGGCTTACCTAGAACATACATACTAAATTAAAAAGACAAGTTCTGACTAGACGATATAACTAACTCACATCTTCTAGACTACAGATCTTCACTTAACTTATGAAACAAGTTACTATTCTATAACACCATACTGAGATCAATTTGGACATCCAGAACAGAGCTTTGGGGTTCGGCAAAACAAATAGACATAAACAGAATACAAGCAACACAATAAAAAATTCTACAAAAAAATGATAATGCACCTTGGTATATTTCAAAGAACAGTATACATGACTTGAACATCCCTACAATAAAATCCTACATCCACAGCAAATACACTTAATTTCACTGTTCAATTCTAAATCACTTCAATCCATTAGTCCTTTCTATTTCCTTCTCCCTGTTACCTGTTCAACGCAGATAAAAAAGAGAATGGCCGAGGGACCTACTACATTAAATACAAACAATGTCCACATTTCATATTTTCAAAACATGCAGGAAAAATTTCCCTGATGTTTTGGACATGTTATCACATGCATACAATTAATACTACATGTGGTTATTTATATAAAGATACTTCTTAACTGTAAATACTTAAAAGTTTGTTGCCTTCTGTTTTAAATCTGTTATGCAAATATGTTTTTTTTATATTCTTAGATATATTTTGTTTCCCCCCAAATATATGATCCTTTTGTTAGTTGACAGAAGGACATAAAATCTGTAATCCATAGAACATAGTTGACAAGTGAAACAAATGTATGTGTCATATACATTTGTTTTCCCTAAACCTTCAATTCTGGCCTGGATCTTGTATCTAATTAGGTGTCTTTGGTTCATGAAATTATTACCTATCATTTTTCAATATGTTTGTACTAATATTTAAAAGATTATCTACATAAGATCCCATCATTTCCTTTATTGATTTGGCACATAAATATATAATATAAGTACGTCTTATTTATTTTTTAAAGAAATCCTTATTTAATATTTATTTATTTAAATATACAACCATTGATAGGAATTGTGCCCAATGACTGGTGGTTATTCGTTATCGAAGAAGAAGATATTACTGAACCATTATTAAAATAAAAAGAATAGCATAATCACATTAATTATAAAAATATAAAAACAAAACATCAGTCACAGCTCAGAGACTTATTTGATTAAATAATATTCGTAATTGTATTTCTTAATGTGACTATTGGAAAAATCCAATTGTATTTCACTATTAAGTAAATTCCAAATCTTTGACATTTCGTTAATTGGCAAGCAAGAGGCCATATTGGTATTACATTATGGTAAATAAAATTCATTTGTCACTCTGTTTCAAGTTCGATGTGCAGCTATCACCAATACATTATTTTTCTAATTTAATTAAATGCATTGCTCTGGCTATTTTGAAGCATTGCGTTATGGAATGCTTTACTTCGAACATAATATAAAGATATTATTGTTCTTAATTATTCCTGATTTATTGCAGAGTATTTTTAATTTATCTTTATAAAAAATAGATATACTCTTTATTTATTTTTTTTGAGAAATATAAAATGAAATGAAACATTCCGATTAGAAATATCTTTTCACGGATGGGTCAAAAACTCAAGATGGAGTCGGTGCAGCCTCTGTTTCTGACAATGTGCAAATTTTCTCATTAACCCCCTTATTGCACTTCCTACCATGCAGAACTGTTTGCAATAAATCATGCCGTTTGTAGTCTCATCTGCAATAAACAGCAAATTTATATTTGTACAGATTCAGAATCTGCTCTTAAAGCTATTAAAAATTCATTTTCAACTAATTCATTAGTCACAGACACAGTTAGGCATATAAAAACATTGGTGAGTGTAGGATATAAGATACAATTTTTGTGGTTACCGACTCACTCAGATAGAGGTAATTTGTCAATATCATGGCAAAACAAGCAATCACGGAAGGAACTCCAATAGGAAATGCTTTTTCAAAAGAAGTAGCTTTGGTAAAGAGATAGGCTCTGGAGAAATGGCAGGGTCTCTGCCATGTTTTAAGAGACAACAAGTTAAGAGTGATCGAGTCCTCTGTAGTTAGTCGAACAGACCTTCAGTTAAATAGAAGAGAAGAAATAATACTGACAAGGCTCCGAATCGGCCACTCACGTCTAACACATGAGCACCTAATGACAATGGAGACGCCCCCTCAGTGTCTCTGCTGCTGAGCCAATTTAACAATCAGGCATATTTTGACTGAATGTTATGTATATGAAAAACAAAGGAATGAAATTGAATTGGAGAATGATATAACTGAAATTTTGAAAAACACCACCAAATTGGCAAAAAAAAAAATTGTTTACATTTCTTCAAATAACGCACCTATACAACAAAATTTAAATTTTTCTGATTTTTTTTGGAAATTTTAATGTTTTAAATATTTTGTGCTTTCAATTTATTGTTAAATTTCACCTGATGTAATATAAATATTGTGTAAGGGTTAAAATGACCCGTAAGAGATTAAGGAGCCCCTCCTTGTTATAAATAAATAATATAAATCATATAAAATTTTTATGGAAAATAATAAGAATAATCATGATTTTGAAAATTTTTTATGTATTATTTAATTTTCAGAATTTTAAAAATGATTAAATGAATGATTCCTATGGGTGGATTCAAACTCTTTAATGATATGCAACTGCACTTGAAAAACTAATTGGGACTCAGATATGGATTATATATCAAATACAATGAATTCATAATGTAAAATTTATTAAGTTTCCATCAGTAAACTAACCGTTTTTGTTTATAATTATCTCTTTTATTTTTATTATTATAATCAAAAATTGTCATATAAAGTTTTTGTTTTAATTACAAGTGTAAACTTTTCGTTTGATAAAAATTTATCTTTGATTTTTTGAAGTGAAAACTTCTTTAGGCACGTTTTGGACTTTTTTTTGTGGAGAGTGAATTAGATTAGCCATCAGATCTTTGATGTGTAACACTTGGATAAAGTCAGCTGGGGTCGACCAATTAAAGTGTTTTTGCATATGGATTAAAATATCTCAAAAACTAAAAATTGGGTCTGTATATTATTAGCGAGGAAAATGTTCAACATTTCATCCTCTTTGTAATGAGCTAATATTAAAAATTGTATCTTAACCCGACACTGTGTTAGAGAGGGGAAAAGAGAAAAATAGTGTCGATAACCAAATGATTTCATCCTCTTTATAATAGGCTATTATTTATAATTTATATTTCATATTATTAATTTATCTTGTTGATGTTTTTTCTTCTATTGTGTGGTCTTAACTCTGTGCTTTAGACCATACAATAGAAGTGATAAACATGAACAAGTTTTTCTATGTATGTATTTTTTTGCAGATTTAGAATCCACCTCAAAAATGCAGGTTTCACAGAGAATACGTGAACCAAAGCCTTCTACCTCTTGTAAGCTAGCTCATATATAATTGTAAAAGTTTGAAAATGATTTAATATACCATATAAGATTATATACATTTTTTTGTTGTCAGTATTTGATAAACAGAAACCTTTTATGTTCTAAGCTAGAATATTTCTTGAGACAGTAATAATCAGATACGTATCTTTGTCCTTGTAATTTTTCGAGACTAATTAGTGAATTATTTAAATTGAATTAATCATATTTAGAATACTACTATGGCAGGTTTGCAGTTTAATTTTACTTTGAATAAATATATATATATATATATATATATATATATATATATATATGAATATGAATATTTGTTTAAATAATATAATAATAATAATAATGTCACTTCTATGTTTCCATGCCAGATTCTGTTCTATGAATGCGAGGGTTTCAATATGTCTGGTACAGTTCAGTATCAGTGTTGTTAGTGCTCTCTCAGTACTCATCATTCTATTTTTAATTCATTCCCAACAATAATTTCTGAGTTCCGATTTCATTTCTTATTTGTATTTAGAAAAAAAAGTTATTTGAAACGATATTCAAGAACTAGACAATAGAATGTAAAATGAATTATTTTATAAATAGTTACTTTTATGAATTAAAGTCATTTATATCCTATATTAGGAAAATATTCCTGAATTGTATTAATCTACTTTCTGTATGTCTATATTGATAAATCATTCTAGCTGTTAAAATAAAACAAAAATAATTTCTAATAATTTCTTTATCTCGGAAATAAAAATATATATCGTTCGTTTAATGGAAAAAGTAATCAAGTATATTTTTGATCTAAACTTTTAAATAATTTTTTTTTTAAATCTTGATCTTATCTATGGATGTAAAAAATCATAGTAATTTAATCAATATAAGGCAAACCCTCTTTATTATTGGAAAAAGTCATCAAGTACATTTTTGATGTAAACTTTTAAATAAATTTCTATAAACTTCGATCTTATCTATTGATGTAAAACCACAGTGCATCAAAACCGTAAAAACTCTATTATATTTTAGAGATGAATATGTAGTCGATTGTTGATATTATAAGGATGAAAAATAGATTATCAAGTTTGCCGATATTTGGACGCAAGCATGTCGGTCGGTCATCATCTGGGCTAAACATTAAAAAATACACCAGACACATGATAAATGTGAAATCTAAGCATGAGAGTAATGATAATAAATATAATAGTTATAAAAAAAAATATGTTAAGAAAATGATATAAACAGATAAAAAAGATAAATATATGAAAAGAAAAAAAAAATTAACCAAATAATTAGGACAAGTAAATAAACAAGAAGTATGCAAAAAATACATTATTTATTGGCAGTATTTTATTTTGTATTTTTGATTTATTCAAAATTTTTAGTTGCTCCTGAGGCAGATTCTTCATTTGACGAAGAAGAAGAAATTGCAGGATGTAAGTTCTGTTATTTATATTTATTATTATTTTTTTTTAGGTTATTGTTAATTTCGTATTTTTTTTCGTTTTTAGTTGTGGAAATTACTGGTCAACAAGACACCTATTCAAAACATCCAGCTAAAAGTAAGAAAAATAATTATTGTTAACAGTATTAATAGTTAATTTTATTTATCAACAAGGAAATTCATTTGTGTGTGTATATATATGTGTATATATATATATATATATATATATATATATATATATATATATAAATAGATTTATATTAACAATCTATATTTGTAAATTTGGTTCTAAAGCAGCTCCAAACATTTTTTAATTTTACTGAGGTTGCTTTTATCTTAATTGGATTTAAAAAAAAAGATTTTGTGTTGATTTTATAAAAACATGATTATACAGATAGAAAGCAATTATATTTTATATAGGTTTATTTGGCAACTTAAACTTCCTTTATAATTTCTATTTTTTTGCCTAAATAAGATATTTTATGTTGATCTTTTGACTAGTTTTCCCATCATCATTATTCTTTTCTCTTTTCGTGATTCTGGATAAAATATTATTGTTATGTTGTTTTCAATTAAGATAAATCTCAATATATTGGGAGTCTAATGGTTAGTCTGTAGAATAATATGTAAATTAAAGACAACGTACCTATCAATATTTTATGTTAAATTGAGAAAGGACCCTTAAAAATAATAGTGAATAATTAAAAAAAAAAAAAGTTCTGATGCAAAAATGTTAAAACATAAAATGTTTTATTCGGCTTCAAAACATCGGCAAATGTTAAAATAAACATTATTATTTATTTTTTCTATTTTTATTTTTGACTGATTACTCCAATTATTCTTCTCTTCATTATTCACTACAGTCAACCATCAACACACAATTATAAAATGTTTTATTAAGATGAAAAAAAGAAGAAAAAGAAATGGAGGAAGTTAAAGTTGTCAAATAAAAACATATTGGTAATTGAAATTTCTCAACTAAATCAAACTTAGAAGAAACATCGGTTGAGATATTGTTGACCCTAGAATAAATAATAGAAGTTGGTTTGGAATGAAATGTTGGCATAAAATCCATTAAGACTTATTATTTTTTGTTTTAATTATAAATATGAACACACTCCAACCAACTTCTCCTATTATTAAGAAGATATATGTTGCTTATTTTATTTTGTAATGCCAAATTTATTTGTTGGAACTATCATTTATCAATTGAAAAAAAATATTACAATCTGAAAATTTCTTTACTTCATAATAATGAAATTAGTTGATTGATGTTAATATTTCCTGCTTTATGTATTTTCTAGAAGCCTCCTGCAGTTCAATGTCTGTATGTCCGTTCTGCGGAAAGAAATTCTTCAGTTACAGGGTCCTTATTGTCCACGTAACTTTAAATCATGTGAGTGAAAGTCAAGCGAAAGCCAATATGCACATATTGAATTTTCTCATGAAAGAGTGTAAAATGTGCGATTATACAACCCCTCATTACAGTCATTTGAAGAGGCACATGATTTCAAAGCATAAAGATTATGAACCTTTCCAATGCCATTTCTGCAATTTCAGAACGTCTATGCAAGTCACGTTAAGGAGGCATGTGAGATTGAACCATACCAACAAAAAGATCTACCAATGTTCCAAGTGTGATTTCAAAGCATTGACAAATTTTAGTAAACAAATTCATTTGAACACTGTTCACTTGGACTCGAGATCGATACACTGTTCCGAGTGTGATTTCAGATCCAAGCGTATTAGCACAATGAGGAAGCACATCAAGTCGAATCATATTAACAAAAAATCTCACCAATGTTCATTCTGTGGGTTCAAAACTGACGGATCTGGAAAGCTGAAAAGGCACATAAGCAAGAAACACTCAGATGAAAAACCTTTCCAATGCACTCTTTGCAATTATAAAGCTGCGCAGTTTAGCAATTTTAAAAGACATCTTGCTTTCAAACATAGTCAAGTGTATAAGATTATCACTACACTATCTCCTTACATATAAAATTGTGATCTCTTATAATTAAATATTGTGATAGACGAGTACAAACGTCATTGTATTTTCCTATTATCCCTAAGAGGCATTTTATTTTTATTTGCTTAATATAATTACTAATACCTACTCTCAAGGTATTGCAAACAAAAATTATTTCATGTTGGTCTCTGAAATTTAATTTATGATTATTTGTGCTATAATTTTAATAAAATATTAATTTAACTTTTAAAGTATAATAAAGAAAAATAATTAAGGAATAGTGTTTTTGTTTCTGACTTATATTATTAGTCTTCTAATTTTTAGAAAATTTAATATTAAGTACTGGTCTAGTTGATAAACAACTTTTCTCCCTCTTATAAATTGTAGGTAGTCACAAACTAGCTATAAACATTTGTTAAAACATTAATGAACACAATTTTTACTTTCACTTACCTATATATGAAATATGTACTAAGTGGAAGTATTGTGATTGTAAAAAAAATCTAATTTGAGTTTTCAACAGAAGTACACCTTATAATGTCAAAATAACAAAGTCTCATAAAATGGTCTGTGGGTGTGTGTATACACCCTAGCTCAAAACTAAATGTACAAAACTGAAATTAAGTATTTAAGTTAGGTATATGCCTAGGGTATTACTACGTTTATATAACTGAATTAAAAGTAAATTTTGCCTTGGTAAGTAAATGGAATTTCCTCGGAAATTAAAAAAAAATATTTTCAGCTTGACACTACAAAAACATGTAGTGCACTGTAATTACATTATTTTATAATAACTGTTGTTGGTTTATACTCATAGAGTAATATTCTTAAAGTTTATTAGTTTATTTTAAATTAATTTCTATTGACAGTTGGGTGCTAAGTGAATGTTGTGTACTCCATGTCTTTAATGATGAGAAGTTATCAATTCAGCATCACTTTCAAAGAATTTATTTTCGTAATGCCACTTCTCCAGATTAGTATATAATATTTTGTTATAAATGTACAATGTAAATGTCCATGGGAATATAAATTATTATTCAGTTCCATGCTTGTGAGTGATCAAGAATGTTCTTTTTTTTCTATTGTTGTTGGATGTAATGAATAAAATCTTGTTAAGAAATATTTTTTATATTATTAGTTCTCCATTCGCTGATGCGTTTGAGTGTACTTAGGAAATTTATGACTTAGAAATTACTTTAAACTCATAATTACTTAGAAGAAAGAAGATCCAGTTATCAAGGTTCGGGAAACAGAATTTTATTTTTAAAGTAATGTCTAAAGTCGTATTATTTTGTCAGGACAATGGTAAACTAAAAAATCCGAAACTGTTTATCTTACTTGTGCTAATTTCTTCCTTATGATAAATTATGAATTAAAAGAAAGGAATAATATTATTTTTAATTTTATACAATTTTTTTTTTTTTTGCTCTTTTCAATGAATAATCATAAATAAATTAAATTTTAAAGGAAAAAAATTATTCAGGAAAAAACTTTTCAATAATAATGATTAATAGTTTAATCATAAAGTTAATTTCAAGTATGAAGAATCTACAAGAGGAAGAAGGAAATAGTTCAGAAGATTATTACAAATGAAAAGTTTATAAAAAAAAAGTTTCATTGAAGTCTATAAAAGCCTAAAACTGACAAATCGGTCTTATGTATAAATATTGAATATATATATATATGTGTGTGTGTGTGTGTATCGGCCTTATGAACTTATTTTATAGAGCATTGCATGAAATATTACTCTTATTGCTAATAAAAGTGAAGATCTATAAAATAACGATATATATGTCTTATGACATTATTCCATCCAGAAAAGTAGAGTTTGACTTTTGATATCTGCTCAGATTAGCAGAATTGTTAAAGAATCGACATAAACATAAATTTTAGCAGGTAGGATATAAAAAAGACGGATGTATCTGCATTACAACCTTATTTTATCAGGATTGGTAGAGTTTCACCATTATTTTTTTCGTGCTCTTCTAATTTTTTTTTTTGTCCTTCCAATGGAACCATATATCGGCCTTACGACCTTTTATTATTATTATTTTTTTTTTGTTCTTTTCTACATGGCCTTTTAGGGTATATGGGGTTTTCCCGGGCCAGGGGCGAGGACGGGGGTTAATGCCAGAGTTAAAAGATCTCTGGGCATCGGTAAGCGAACTCGCAATTATTTTATTGTCTCCAGCTTCGGTTATCCGGTTGCCGGGAAACGCGGTGTGGTGCACACGCGTTAGTCCACTTCTATCGGCCTTACGACCTTATTTCATCAAAATTCTTATAGTTAGACCTTTTTATGTCTATTTTCTTTATGCCCCACTTCTTCCAAATTTATTTTGATCCCTTACTTTCCCCTCATTTGAGCTGATAGCTATATTCTAAAGACCGAAATATTGGCCACACAACCTTATTTTATCGAGGAAATTGGAATACAGTTTTTATTGCTAATAAACGTGTTGATCTATCGTCAAGGGATCGATATATAGATAAATGCAATAAAATTTAGCAGATGTTGATATTTCTAAGACTGATAAATCGGGATTAAGACCTCATTTTATTGTTTATATGTTATTATTTTTCCTTTTGGACTGATATATCGGCCTTATTATAATGGTGACTTTTGACGTATTTCCCCCGGATTTATCAGCATAATTGCCTTTGAAATTTGGGTATCCAAAAATGTCAATATACGCTGTGCTATATGTTCCAGTAGCGGATCCGGGATTTAATTTTTGGTTTATTTATTTTATTTTTTTCTATACAACGTAAATAACATTGAAAAACAAAACAAATAATCATGAGAAAAACTTTATATATAATCATGTTTAAAGGGTACTTGAGGACCTGTAACAATTTTTTTTTTTTTAATTTTTCCTCTTGATGAGTGTAAAAAAATTACATAAGTTTACATTTTACATACAAAATTACATTAATTTTGAATCATTGCTTTGTTCCTTTTACAATATTCTATCGTCTACTCGTTGAGTGTAAGAATACTTATTATATTTGTTATTTTTAAAAACTTTTTGATGTAGAAGTACAAAAAACATTGTAAACAATTTCTTTTGGTTGACCTATAAACATTTAAAAATTATTGAAAAAAAAGTAGAAATGAATATTCTGGTTTTCCTCAAGGTAGTATCCTAGGTCCTATTCTTTACACAGCCTATACAGCTGACATCCCAACCCATCCCAACACGATCATCACCACCTACGCAGATGACACTTGTATCCTATCTGTTAATAATGACCCTTTAATTGCATCCCAAACCCTCCAATCACATATCACAAACCTTGAAGAATGGTGTAATAACTGGAGAATAAAAATAAATTCCATCAAATTACCTTTACCCTTCGTCGTAAACCCACAACTTCTTGCCCTACAGTATCCTTCAATGATATTCCACTTGTTCCTGTTGAACAAATCCGCTACCTAGGACTCCACTTGGATAAACGTCTAACTTGGAATCCGCATACTAGACTGAAACGACAAGAAACTGCTCGACGTTTCCGACTGCTCTAACACTTACTAGACAAATGCTCTAAACTTTCAATTAATTACAAAAGACTTATCTACATAACTATAATAAGACCTATATGGACATATGGAGTTGAGCTTTGGGGTTCTACCAAGCATCGAATTCCTATCGTATCCAATCCTTACAATCCAAAATCCTTAATGCTCCATACTTTGTCACAAATAAAACCATTCATAAAGACCTTAATATTCCATATGCCGCTGATTTAGCCCGAGCCAGATACCTATCCTTTCATGATAAACTCCAGTCCCGTCCGAATTGTTTTCAGGCTTCTTCCTCGATTCCTGATAATCCCCCTAGGCGTCTGAAAAGAAGATGGCCACGTGATCTTCTCACCTAGAATTAAATAGGGAGTGCTACCACTGGGTAGTATCTCTTCAAGTGTGTTCATGTCATTATTTCCAATGTTTGCATTTTTACTAGTTGTACTGTTTATACAGTTTTAAATTTCATTAAATAAATTAAATAAAATATTTTTTTTTTTGTTTATTTAATGAAATTTACAACTGTATACAAATACAACTAGTAAATATGCGCAAATTATAAATAATGACAGGTACAGGCTTGAAGAGATACTACCCAGTGGTAGCACTCCCTAAATAATTTTAAGTAAGAAGATCACGAGGCCATCTCCTTTTCAGACGCCTAGGAGGATTATCAGGAATCGAGGAAGAAGCAAGAGTGGAAACAAGTGGATTTGGATGGGACTGAAGTTTATCATGAAAGGATAGATATCTGGCTCGAGCTAAATCAGCGACATATGGTACATTAAGGTCTTTATGAATGGTTTTATTTGTGACAAAGCATGGAGCATTAAGGATTTTACGGAGGATTTTGGATTGTAAGGATTGGATACGATAGGAATTCGATGGTTTGATGGAGCCGCAAAGCTCAATTCCGTATGTCCATATAGGTCTTATTATAGTTATGTAGATAAGTCTTTTGTAATTAATTGAAAGTTTAGAGCGTTTGTAAGTGTTGGAGCAGTCGGAAACGTCGAAAAAAAAATGAGTATCATTCAAGTTCTCGAATATATTAAGAGTTTATGAGGTGTTTACTGGAAGCTTTGATTAGTGCCAAAAAGCGTAAGCAGACGAAGTCCACCACAATCTCAGACAAATATTTTATTTAAATGTTTGTGCTTGTATGGGAAATGTGCCTTTACATAAGAATTTATTAAAGTGTGAAACCTCTATTCTAATCAAATGTACATTATTCCTTCTTTTCATCCTATAATTTTAAACGTATAAGACGTAAATGACCTTTTTTAAACTTTTTTGTTTTTAATTTTAAATATGATGTTATGTAACAATAATGTTTCCTTCTCTTAGATAAGACGTAATATTGCATAAATTATTGTAATAAGCGTTGCCCTTGGTACAGCTTCAGTAATAAAGAATATAAACTTACTCAATATACAGTAGTGAGAAAAATTCTCGGAACAAACAAAATTTTTATAAAAATGATGAATGTTTCAATTTAAAAGTGTTTTTTTTTATCTTCTTCATTGTAAACTTATTTAACCATGCAGACAATGTAGATGTAATATATATTTAAATTATTATTGTAATTGTATTAAAATAATAATTAAATTATTATTATTGTAAGCCAAGGGATCAATCCGTTGAATTGAGATTTTTTTGTCCTCTAAATAATGCTATTTTATTGCAGTG